CAGGATGGAGAGATGAAGCTGATGGAAACATGAACTAAGAGAAGAAACTTCATGGACACTGAAAACTGAGCTTCTGACTGATGAACTTCATTATTTTTGACTTTTTTAAGCCTTTTTCCAAAGAACTTAAATCCACCGTCAAACTCAGTGTTGTTGTTTTTTTAAACTGTACTTTTATTTAACAATTTGCTGGTGTTTACTATACATTCATTTTTGGTTAAATACCAGAAAATAACTAGAAAAACACTCAAAATAATATAAATTGGTGTTACCATGTTACCATAAATAAGAACAGCAACCAACAACACACAGCCCAAGCGGTTCTGGTTCTGTTCTTACGGTAACTTCACTGTAAAACAAAAACAGTGAAGTTTAGCTCAGTGTAGAACAAACAGCAGCCTTAACTTCACGTGGCTTTAATGACGTTTAAACCATGAACAAGCAGAAACACTGAATTTATCGTTACTGTCCAGTTATTTTCAGATGATTTCTGGAGCTCTACGCTGCTGCTGAACCTGCACCACATCGATCTAATTTAAACCTGTCTAAGATCACAGAACCAATGCTCTGATGTTAACTGTGTCCAGGTGTAGTGATGTATTTACAGCATTACACTAAACAGACGGGTTTTTATGTTGTCTAATAGCTGCAGCCACAGACTGTACTTGTGGTTTTCAGTCCGGTTGTGTGTCTGCTGTTCATCGATCAGGCCTTCAGCAGACGTGAGGATGAGGCTTCAGCCGGTCGTGTTTTGTCGGTTGGCGTTGTGACGTCACCGCCGGCGGGTGGAGCGGCGCCTGGACGCCGTGAGCACGACGCAGCATGTTCAACGTCAGCTGTTCACACATTCCTGAGCAGCTCCACCCTGATCACAGCAGAACCGGTTCACGCTCAGCCCTCGGGCCGAGTATCGGCTGCCTGATGAGACGCCCGACGTTCACTTTGTTTCCTTTATTTAACCAAAGTCACGTCCAGCCGGCGCCGTTCAGACCTGGATCAGGAAGAACGGGAGTAAATAAGTTCATGAAGCTTGATTCCAGTTTACGACCTCAGAGCCGCTCATTAGCGCGATTAGTCTGAACTCTCACTGTTGAAGGCAAATTAAATTATTGATTATTCCCTGATTAATCACTGGTAGAAACAATCATGCGTTGCAGCCCTGCTTTGCACCAAAGAATCCGTCGCTGCTCGTGATGTCACACGTTTGGTCATTGGTTCCTGGAATACAAAAACTAAGAAATCAATGTTATTAAAATATTTTTCAACATCAAGACTAAATTAAAAATCCCTGCAGCCCACATGAGCTATCGCTACATTAGCTAAAAAAAACAAAAAGGTCATCCTAAAAAAGTAATGTTAGCCACTGTGTTAGCCAAACTAGGATGATGTTGGCTGCTACTTTTGCCTAATCAGGACAATGCTAGCTGCTATCTTAGCCTAAATAAGATAATATTTGATGTTACATTTGCCTCGATAGTGTTAGCCTAATTAAGTTTGCGTTAGATGTCAGGTTTGCTTCTTCAAAATAATGTTAGCAGCTACGTTTGCTCAATTTGGATCATGTTAGCACAACCAATATAGTGTTAATCTATCAAGATGTTGTTAGATGCTAGGTTTGCTTAATCAAGATAATGGTAGCAGCTACATTTGTCAAAGTGAGATGATATTAGCTGCTTTGTTAGCTTAAACATGGTGACCTGAATTAGTTAAAACAAGCTAACATAAGCTGCTATGTTAGCATAAACAAGAAACCGTTAACACAATCAACATATTGTTAGTTGCTAAATTGCCCAGATGTTGTTAGCCTGATCAAAATCATGCTAGCTGCTATATTAGCCTATGTAAGACGTTTGCAGCTACATTTGCCTTTTCCAGACAGTGTTGACCACTATTTAACCTGAACAAGATTGTTAGCCACTGTCTTAGCCTGAACAAGCTAACGTTACCCAGTATTTTATATATATCAGCTCTGACTGACTGGTTGGGAGTTCCACATCCTGATGTCCTGAAGGAGACGTTAACACCTGAGTCTCAGTTGGGGGTCTGTTGCTCCTCCCCCTCGTTATGTGAGTCGTTAGTGCTCCCCCTGACACCGTGGGGTTCGTTAGGGTCTCTGTGGCTCGGTGTGGATGTGGCTTCATCTTCCTGGGGGGAGATCTTAGGACTGAACTGTGAACAGATGATGCCTCAGACCTCCACCTCTGCTGAGGGAAGGTCTCTCCAGTTGGACAGAGATGCTTCTTTCACTCCTCTCTCAAACCATCTGTCCTCCCTGCAGGACAGCATCTGTACGTTGTGGTCTTTGAATGAGTGTCCTTGGTCCTTGAGATGCAGCTGGACTGCTGAGTCCTGTCCTGAGGAGGTGCTCTTCTGTCCTGGGCCATGCGCTTGTGGAGCAGTTGTTTTGTCTCCCTGATGAACAGGTCGATGTACAGGTGATCAGAGGTGAAATGTCTTCAATGAACTCAAGCAGGTCCAGTTGCTACGATCAATCTACCAGAATAGCTGAAACTATATAAAGTTAAACACTTCTTTAGCCTAAACAAGACAATGATAGCCACTGTTTAGCTCGGTCACCGGGAGGAGCTCGGAGTAGAGCCGCTGCTCCTCCACATCGAAAGGAGCCAGCTGAGGTGGCTTGGGCATCTTTTCCGGATGCCTCCTGGACGCCTCCCTGGGGAGGTGTTCCGGGCGAGTCCCACCAGGAGGAGGCCTCGGGGAAGACCCAGGACACGCTGGAGGGACTATGTCTCCCAGCTGGCCTGGGTTCGCCTAGAGTACCCAGAGTAGTAAGAGCTGGAGGAGGTGTGTGTGGATCGGGAAGTCTGGGCGGCTTTGCTCAGGCTGCTGCCTCCGCGACCCGACTCTGGATAAGCGGGAGAAGATGGATGGATCAACCTAACAAGATAACATTAGCTGCTACATTTTGTGTCAACATAGACGATGAGATTCAAAATGTGAACAGTGAGATGAGACGGGGAATTGTATAAGAAAATGGCAGGTGGAGTTCATCAGAAACTCTGAACCTTTGTCAGAACGAAGCCTGCCCCTCAGTTTTCTCTCCGCTGTCTCCCTCCGTCCTCCAGGACCATGACTGGGACGCGGCGCTGCAGTTCCTCCCAGCCTCGGACTCCCGGCAGCTGGAGAAGAAGCCGGGCTGCAGGAAGAAGCTGTGGATGGGAATCGGGCTGCTGCTGGCTGCTGCCGCCCTCGCTCTGCTAACCGGACTGCTGGTTTGGCATTTTCACCGTGAGCAGCTCACTCAGACATGTTTACTGCAGTTTACACAGCAAACATTCAGCTACACCTGTTCAGCCCTTAGCCTGTATGCTAGCTAAAGCAAGATGATGTTAGCTACTATAAGATTAGCCTGTGTGTTAGCCTGAACAAGATGATGCTAGCCTCTGTGTTAGCCTAAAAAGCTAATGCAGGACAAGCTTGTTTTTCTCTCCTGGTTTATTTTATCAATTTGTTTTTCCACATAAAACCTGAAACATTCAGAGTTTTGTTTTTGACAGCTAAATATATCACTTTGTTTAAAAAAAAGTTTTAAAAAAACCCCAAAACAACAACGTTATGAGCTATCACTACGTTAGCCTAAACAAGATAAGATAAGCTCCTATGTTAGCCATGACAAGATAATGGTCGCTACTAGGTTAGCCTGAGCAAGACAACATAAGCTACTATGTTAGCCTAAACATGATAATCTGAGTTTATGTATTAGCCTAAGCAAGGTAATGCTAGCTGCTAGGGTAGCCTAAGCAAGAAAATAGAAGCTACTGTGTTTGTCCAAACAAGGTAATATTAGCCAGAACAAGATAATGTGATGATATGCAATGATACTGCTAGTCTCTATGTCAATGTAAGCAATGTAATGTTAGCCTCTGTGCTAGCCAGATTAACCTAAACATAGTCATGTTAGGCTAGATATGATAGTGTTAGCCTTGATATTAGCATAAACAACATAATGTTAGCCTAAATAAGAAAATGCTTGCCTCTATGTTACCCTAAGCAAGAGAATATTAGCTACTACATTAGCTTAAACAAGATTAGCTTCTGTGTTAGCCTGAAAAAGATGATGTTAGCCTCTGTGTTAGCCATTAAAGCTAAGCAGTAAGAACAAACATGCATGTTCCAGAGCCAAACCTTGCAGTTATTTACAATAAATTAAGATAATTAAAAAGAAAAGCAGGTGGAAACATGAACCATCACTTTGAGAACATTCCTGATGTACCAGTCGTCAGCTGATTGAGTCCTGCTCTGGGTTTAATGCAGGAGGACGGAGAGGATTTATGGTTTCTGTCGGCTGGTTTGTGTGTAAATAAAGTTTTGTAAAGCCTGTGTGTCTCCTCAGTGCGTAATGACGTCAGAGTGAAGCGCTTCTACATCGGCTCGATGGGAATCAGCAACCAGCGCTTCCTGCCGGCCCACGAAGATCCCAGCAGCCCTCAGTTCACCGACCTGGCCGCTCGGGTCAGACAGCAGGTGAGACGTTGCTGCCGCAAAGCATCATGGGATGTTGAGCCACGCTGCTGGTGGTGGTGGTGGTGACGCCTCCACTTCTGCTTCACGACTTCCTGTGTTGCTGAGGAGGAAGTAAACAGACGCGAGACCTTTGATGATATCACATTTGACCTTTTCTGTTCCAGCTGAAGCTGATTTATTCCAGAAACTCGGTTCTCGCCAAATACTTCAAAGGCTCCACTGTTCAGGCCTTCAGGTGCGTTTGAGATGCAGCATGTTGATCTGTGCAGAACCTCCTCAGAACATCTGGTTCTGTTTCTGCAGAACCTTTATCTACTGACCAGAGTTCTACCTTCAGACTGTGAATGTTCCAGAGGTCCAGGTCCTTGAAGTCCACAGAGGAGGGTCCAGATTGATCACTTTAATGGACCTTTTCCATCATTTCTGAGCCTCAGAACTTCATCAGTACAGCAGATAGACACATGACATTTAGGAGGAAGAACACATCTGGGTTCTGCTAGAACCTGACACCAGATCAGTGATGGAAAAAGTCCATTAAAAAGTGTGAAATGTGGATTTAATATAGTGAAGTTATAGTAGATACAGAATCGGCTGATTCTGAGGAGGTCAGGAGAACTTCTTCAGGTGTGGCTGATACGTTCCCTTTGGTCTGTCCATGTCCTCCTGTGTCTGTGCTGCAGCGAGGGCGACGGCGGCGGCGATAGCGTCGTGGCGTACTACCAGTCGGAGTTCGATGTTCCCGTCCCTCAGCAGGACTCGCTGGACGAAGCCGTCGAGTCTCTGGAGCCACCGGCTGAAAGTCCTCAGGGCCGACAGGGACGGGTGCTGCTGAGGCCCAAAGAAGTTCTGGACGTCAACAGCGTCGTCTCTCGAGGTTCAGAGGCTCCTCATGGAGCGTTTCTAACTAGGGATGGACCGATGATCAGCCCGGCCCATTGCTGATGACTGAAATGTGGTCTGATGCAGCTCCTCTGTCTCCAAGGCAGAGACGACTGAAACTAGAAACAAAAGCCCAAAACAGGAAATTAGCTTTCACAGTGGCTATGCTAACAGCTAGCGGCTAAATCTGGAAAGCTATCTATAAAACAACAGACAACAAAAACCAAGACAGTGATTAATAACGCTGTAACCTGTAGACGTTAGTTAAACAGGACATAATTAAACCACTCCTGTTTCTACTTTACATGTGATCTTCACCTTATTAAGGAAGAAGCCTCGTTATGAAGGACAGCTTCCCTCCTGTCACATGCTGTTAAAACATTACATTTAAGATATTAGCTGTCTGGGCTAACATAGTATGTAATGTTACTTTAGCCTAAACATGATAACATTACGTACTATGTTAGCCTA